ATCAGAAGTGTCATGGAAATATCAATCCTTTTCAACTTCTGCTTTGGTCTCAGAATTCTTGGGACCCATCTTGTAGTCATCTCGCTCATCGCCAAGATCTCAGCTAAAACATGGACCAACGCATAACTAAGGCATCTGGACTTAGCTATCTGCTGGACAGTATGTCATCCCAAACCATACGGTGAATGACATCAACATCAGTGGTTGAGGTTTTCGGACGACCTGATCGAACTTCATCTTCTATGCTGTCTCTGACCGGCTTGAATTTCGTAGCCCACTTCTTTGCATAGGGACGGTTGTCCTCGGCAACGGTCCGTAACATGTCCTCAAGGATTTCCTTCGGAGTCATAATATTCTTTTGCAGATACTTTATGACAGCTCGGGCCTTAGTTTTGTAGCACACTTCTCACCTTTGTATGAGCCTCACCTGCACAGAAATTAAGACAAAAATCTGAATTAGTTTATCTGGTTTTATTAGAAGTGGTGGTGTGTTGCCGCAACAAAAATGTTCAACTATGACTCTTTTTTCTGGGTGTGGCTTAGAATTTTTGAACGCCCTTCGTATTTACTTCACATCTGACTATGTTCTTAAGCAGATCGTTAATATAAAGTGGAAATTAGGGTAGGACCATGAAGGGGGCCTTGTGTGCTTCAGAAGACTAACCATTAACAACAACCTACATGGACCTACCGGTTAAGAATGACTTGATAATTGAGAAATATATTCGAAAGATTTCATATCAGTCAAGAGCCTTTGATATATTTAGCGCAATCAATCTCGTGATGAATTTCTTGTTTAGTGTCTTACTGATTCTGCGTGTGTTGTGGAGTTATTTCGCAGGGGTGGATTGTATTTGTACTAAATCAGTCCTAAATTGTTCGACGTACAAAACGTTAGGAACTTTGATATAATAGGTATTACGCAGAGTAATCTTGTTGTGGTCGATGATACTTTCGTATTCGACTAACTGTCGTCCGACATCAACTGACCGTCGTTTCTATTACTACTCCTACTTATATTATTTGGGAGTGTCTATTAACTATAGAATAGGTGTGTTTCTCCATAACACCCACCTTCTCAAACTTTACTCCGTAGGAGTAAACAGTTTTCTTTATTTATTTTTTACAGGAAATATGAAGAAAAAACAAAAAAAAAACTTCATTTTTTTAGCAACATCGTAGCGTATCTCCTACGTTTTGGATCCACTTTTAAATGATCAATTGCCTTTCTTTTACTCCTGGATCGGCGTATCTCAGGTAAAATCGTTGCAGGCGTTGTTAGATCAAACGTATCGAAAATCACCTCCATCTGCATTTCTTCCGCGGGACCGCTGTCAACCACGTCTGAAGAGCCTCGTCTGATCTGGTTAATGGGCTGTCTGCACGTGAATTTTCCCCCTTTCACCAAGTACATCATATTGCCAATCCGCTTTTCTACTTTTTGGTACTTCCATAGTGTTACCATAAACAACCTTCCGCTTTGAGCTTCTTAAGGATGGGGTCACAGTTTCTGTAGGTTCTGCTTGTGGTTCTATTTGTTCAGCTTCTAGCTTCTCTTTTGTTGATCTTGTGCTTCTTAACGTTTTCTGTGGTGATTTCACTTGACTTAAATCATTTATTAATACTACATCTCCTTGGTTGCGGGTAACTCGCTCCCCAGTTTTTCTCGGTGTCGGCTTCATCTTTACTTTCTGGCGATTTTTTTTTTCACGTATACCGTCGGTGTTGCCCATTCACTATACTCAACTTTTTTAAGTACACCGGTTTTCTCTAATCTGTCCAATTCTTTATCTATCTGTTCAATTGAGGCAAACAGCACATTCCTTTTCTTTTTGAATATCGCCTGAGCGTTTTCTTTTAACTGGAATTTTGCCTCCATCTTGGTACACGTTCCCAATTCTGGAGAAAAAACAGTAAGAAATGTTTCCTTAAGTTTCTTTATTAATTTTTGGGATTCGGTGTTTAAACTTTCTACCTTGTAACAGAAAGAATTTATCGGTAGATCCCATAATTGGAATTCTGTTATCCAATTCGTACCAAGTAAGGTCGTGGTATTCTCTATGACAAATAGTTTAGCTTTTCGCGTTTTTTTTTATTTAATGACGTTTGTAACAAATTCCTCAATAAATTGTATTTTTTCTCCCGTCACCAACCTCTGATTTTTCTTTTGTCTTCATTAAAGTTGGTTTCCCCAACTTCTTCCACGTATGAAAATTTATGATAGATAGATCTGAGCCAATGTCACGTTGCATTTTTTATTTTTATTACTTATTTCGACGGTAAATAATTTTCTGGTTATTCCATCTTTTTTACCTCGTTGGACTTTAATTTTCTTATTTTATTGTCTTTATTTTTGACATGCAATGCGTGCTTTATGACCCACTCTTTTACAGTTGAAACATTTTTTTATTCCTAAAATCGCAATATCTGTACCAGTGTAGTTCACCGCAAGCAAAACATGGCTTTGGGAGTTTTTGTTTATTTTTCTCTGGTATTTCACTTTTTGCTTGATAATCCGCAATTTTAGAATTCTTTTTGGTAGACTGACTTTCTTCTTTGTAGCGTATTTTCCTTACATGCGAAACGCCAGACTGTTCTATCATTTTTGAATCTTTCTTTACGCTAACATATCTTGTGCAGTCTTCTGCCAATTTCTGTACCGTAATACTTGGATCGCTTTCCAATATTGCCAGTACTAACTTTCTCAACTCTGCGTATCTTTCCGATACCAGCCTCTGAACAAACACTAAACACTTAAAATTGTCTGCTCCTAAATCTGCCAGATTGAATTCTTCACAATGCTTATTCGCATTGGCTGTGTACGTTATATAGTCTTATTCGTCATCTTTCATCAGATTCAAACATTTCCACCTCTTGTGAAATAGAGATGTCTTTTTACTAAATAATTCACTTAATATATTTACCGCCTCGGTAAATGTCAACTCGCTAGTTTTTCTTGGTAAAATGTAGTTTACCAATTTGTTATGCTCAGCAGTTCCTAATTTGCTTAAAAGAAGCCTAACCTTCTTTCCTTCAGACCATGAGTGGCAGTCCTCATTATACACGTCCGTATATTGTTTATAATACTCCTGAAAAGTTATCTCTTCATCTGGACTGTACGTGAATATTACAATTGAATTCCATATTGTATTCTCTGGGAAAGAATCATTTTGTAGATTTTTCTCTTTCCTCTTCTCAGTTATTTCCAGAATTTTGTTTTGAAACTCCCTATGCATCTGTTCCATTTTTTGTTGGAATTGCATTTGTCTATTGAAATTTCCTCCTGTAGCTGCATCTGGAATGTTTTTTATTGCACTAATATTGTCATCTGTTGTTCCGACTGGAACATAAGAATTCCCGGAATATATTTTTGCATTCCACCATCTTCGCAAAAAGTTTACACAATGACTAAGTACTGTAGAGGGGATGGGGGTCCTTCGAATTTGCAATTCGTGACCTATTTGAGCAAACTGTATTATCGGGAAAAAAAATTCTTTTCTCAGTTGAGAATACGACAGATTTTTTCGTCACTAAGTTGACGTCTTGGCTTGCGAAAAACTTTGCCAAGTTTTTTTTTAAGTGTGAATCCGAGACTTTGTCGCCGAAGTTATTGTGGCGAGCGAATTTTTTCTTCCTCAGTATGAGTGCGAATCCTCGTCACCAAAGTTGTAGCGAGCGAATTTTTTCTTCCCCCGTATGAGTGCAAATCCTCGTCGCCAAAGTTGTTGTGGAGTTATTTCGCAGGGGAGGATTGTATTTGTACTAAATCGGTCCTAAATAGTTCGACGTACAAAACGTTAGGAACTTGATATAATAGGTATTACGCAAAGTAATCTTGTTGTGGTCGCTGACTACTTTCGTATTCGACTAAATGTTGACTACTGTCGTCCGACATCGACTGACCCTCGTTTCTCTTACTACTCCTACTTCGTGGGAGAGTCTATTAACTATAGAATAGGTGTGTTTCCCCATAACAGCGTGTCATGGCAGTTAGGGTATCAGCAGTGGACATTTTCGCAATAACTGTTATTTAGTGGAACAGACTTTCATGAGGATACTTTCCCGGGCGCTAGAATGTTAACCGCTCCGAGTCAAGCGTCAATCGTTATCTATCCTTTATATCCTCACAATCTTCACATCCTACTGTCTCATTTTCTATTTATAACATATAGTTAAGTCAGCATGAATCTACCTTGAGTGACTCTCTAGCTTTATATTGGGTGATCTCTATTAAAAATAAACTACACTAGAGGATGGTCTCCTCGATTTGCTCGATGGCGAGCAGCCATTAGCAAGGTATAGGAAATTTATTAGGTTTATTTTTTGAAGATTGTAGTTGTCCGGGAAGCAAGAAATCGGAATGGAACTCCACAGCTGAGACGGGTAAGAAAATATACAGTCAGAATAGAAGTGGCGGTTGTATTTAGCTAATTTAAAAGGAAAACGGTCAGGCCTAGTTGCAAACGTAGTAGCACAAATAAATTCATGTAGTCAGGACATTAGGCGAATTCGGGGCAGTAAAAAGTTAAGAGGAAGATTATTTTGCGCAGATCTGCCGAAGGGAGATAACCTTGCATGAATTGAAAAAAAATTGTATTTAAAGTTTGGGTTTCTAGGCTCGGAGCGAAGTCAAAACATAACGCTAGTGTGGAATCAATGAACGACATCAGCATGTGAAATGTCTTTGCTGATAATAGCTCTGCAACTGATGCCTATTAAGAAAAGAAGAAATGAAAAAGAAGACGAAAGAAAACAAAAAAAAAAAAAAAAAAAAAAAAACAGGATAAAGGAGATAAAGAAAAGATTTAATCCCGGGCAATTCCAGTTAATCCAGCAACTCACTGGGGGAAAAAAAGTTGCGAAAAAAAAAAACAAAGAATCATTTTGAATGGGCTCGTTTCTTTCTTTCTTTCTTATTTAAATCCTGTTTTTTTTTTAATTGTCAACTTCGATGTGAACACGCGGTAATTTGAACCACAAACTTAAGAGTTTCTAAATCAATGTTGTACCAAGTGGGTTGATAAATTGAGGACACTTTAATTAATTTGTTCTTCGATGTAATGAGATTAAACTTTTTACACTTTCTCGTCCTCTTTCTCTCTGGAATTAATCAATAAAATTTGTTCGGCGTATGACAACGAAGAACTGAGCAAATTTCACCATGATGACAATGATGACACACAGACAGACAGTTGAATTGATTTACTTGGAAAATATCTTTATTTTTTTTTCATTTTTTTTGTCTATTTACCGTAATTATTTTTCTTTCCTTTTGCAAAGACGAATAATTGTCTATCGAAACACGTAAACAAAGTCTTCTTTCTCTTGTTCTTATCCTATTTCTTTCTTTTCATCTCATTCCTCAGTGTTGGTGTAATCTGTTCTCCTCCTCTTTCTCACCCCCCTCTTCTTCCTTTCTTTTAGTGTCTTTATTAAACTTTTTCTTCATCTCCTCCTTCATCCCTTTTGTCCCCAGTGCTGTTGTGACTCTTTTCTTTTTCTTTCTTTCTTTCTTTCTTTGTCTTTTTCACTTTAATTTCATTTTTTTTCTTTCATTCTTTTTTTTTTTTTCCTTTGATTTCTTTTCTTTCTTTTTCTTTCTTTCACTTGATTTTCTTTCTTTCTTTCCTTTTCACTTTGTTTTTTCTTTCTTTTTCACATTATTTTCTGTCTTTCCTTTTTCTGTCTTTTATTTCTTTCTTTCCCTTTCACCTTATTTTCTTGTTTCTTTCTTTTCCACTTTAATTTCCTTTCTTTCTTTCTTTCTTTCTTTCTTTCTTTCTTCTTCACTTTGTTTTCTTTATTTGTTTCTTTCATTTTTTCTTTTATATCTTCCTTTCCTTATTTTTTTCCTTTTCACCTTATTTTCTTTCTTTCTTTCTTTCTTTCTTTCTTTCTTTCTTTCTTTCTTTCTTTTTCACTTTATTTTCTTTCTTTCCTTTTCACATTATTTTCTTTTTTCTTTCTTTCCTTTTCACTTTATTTTCTTTCTTTTTCTTTCCTTTTATTTTCTTATATTTCTTTCTTTCCTTATTTCTTTCTTTTCTTTTCACCTTATTTTCTTTCTTTCTTTCCTTTTTACTTTATTTTCTTTCTTTCTTTTTTCTTTCTTTCCTTTTCACTTTTTTCCTTCTTTCTTTCCTTTTCACCTTATTTTCTTTCTTTCTTTCCTTTTTCTTTCTTTCTTTCTTTTTCTCTTTATTTTCTTTCTTTATTTATTTTCTTTCTTACTTTCTTTCTTTCTTTCCTTTTCACTTTATTTTCTTTCTTTCCTTTTGCTTTCTTTTCTTTCTTTCTTTCCTTATTTCTTTCTTTCCTTTTCACCTCATTTTCTTTCTTTTTTTTCTTTTGCTTTCTTTTCTTTCTTTCCTTATTTCTTTCTTTCCTTTTCACTTTATTTTCTTTCTTTCTTTCCTTTTGCTTTCTTTCTTTCTTTTTCACTTTATTTTCTTTCTTTCCTTTTAACCTTATTTTTTCTTTCTTTCCTTTTTCTTTCTTTTCTTTCTTTCTTTCCTTATTTCTTTCTTTCTTTCCTTTTCACTTTATTTTCTTTCTTTCTTTTTTCTTTCTTTCTTTCACTTTATTTTCTTTGTTTGTTTGTTTGTTTCTTTACTTTTCATCTCATTTTCTTTTTTCTTTCTTTTCTATATCAATTTCTTTTCTTTCTTTCATTCTTTCCTTTTTCTTTCTTTTCTTTCTTTCTTTCCTTATTTCTTTCTTTCATATTCACTTTCTTTTCTTTCTTTTCTTTTCTTTCTTTCCTTCTTTCTTTCTTTCCTTTTTACTTTATTTTCTTTTTTCTTTCATTTCCACTTCAATTTCTTTTCTTACTTTCTTTCCTTTTCACTTTATTTTTGCAACTGCCTTTTTTCGTTCTTACGTTTTCTTTCTTCTTTCTTACCGTTTAACTTCTTTTGTTTTTCTCTTTATCCTTTTTTTCCACATCTTCTTTTATTCCAACTTCTTTATTTATATATTCGTTTCACAGATTCAGACGATAAACCGAAAAGAAATATTCAAACCTTCTGATAAATCTTACTCTCAAACTGTTTATGAATGTAATCATCGTTCAGAAAATTTTCTTTTCTCTCCCCACTCACCTCGTACACCTCAAATTGAAACTTCAAAAAGCTCAAATATTTCAACCAATATTGATACTCTGAAAACGATCAAAATATCTAAAATTTTGGCTTTGGAATTTGGGTCAATTTCGTCCATTTTAAGCATTACTTATTTTCTGTAATTATTCGAAGAATACTGGCAATTTGCACAGAGGAATTATACGATGAACATTTCAACAAAAATAAAATCATATGAAATCAAAACATACAAACAAAAAGACATCAGATTGAATGCAGACGTAAGATCCTGACCAGGAATCGTTTAAATACAATTATATTTTATTAGACTCGATTCTACTTTATATTTGCAGAGGAAGAAATACTTACGAAAATGCTATTAAACATTTTCACTTATCAGTAACTAGCTATAAAAAAAACATCTAAGTGTCATTTCTTGGACGATGCATTCAAATATCAAACAAGATTTATTGCGTCCTGTGTAAGCTATATCCGACAGCAAGGCCTTTGATTAGGAGATTTTGAGGAGCGTGGAACTTAATTGCTGGTGTTGCCGGGTCCAACCAGACCCGGGGTGGTAACACCTGTTAGGGTCTCGACTGTGGGCAAATAGTTAACCACAAATCTGCTGTCAAAACTCTATGAAAGTGAAAACATAGGTTTTAATACCAGCAATAAACTTTATGAGGAAAAATTATTACTAGCAATACATTTTTGAAGAAAAAATATTATCAACAATAAAACTTTTGTCGCCATTAAACAACCCATTGAGGTTGATATGCCATAAAACAAACCAAACCAAACCAAACTAAACTAAGACTTATCATCGATTAATCTTCAGCAAAAAGTGGTTTGTGGCTTAAACTCTAATACTGCAAATATAGACCTAGTCTGATTTCACTTGATTTTGTTTTCCTGGTAAATTTCCGTTTTGTCTCTTTCTCCTTTTCCTTCCTACACAAGCGAGATTTTCTCAGTTGGTCACAAGATAAAAGTGTGGACTATTTTAACGTGGTGCTTTGGGGTGCGAAAATCTGGAATGAAAGACGCACCTTAAAACTGACTGACAACAGCTAAAGAAGCCGCATATATTTGGTAAGAGAGATCCCCTTCGCGCAAACGCCCGCACGCACACGCATATATATATATAAACGCACACACACACACACACACACACACACACACACACACACACACACACACACACACACACACACACATATATATATATATATAGAGAGTCTACAGTTTGAATTTCCGCTGTTGTCACGAACATATGCACACACATACATACAGAAAGGACTGTATACAGGCACAAGCACATACAGAAAGACTGTACAATTTACCTTTCTCAGTATCAGACATTTTTTGTCATCGCCTTACGCAAGAAAGGGCTGTATACACACACACACACACACACACACACACACACACACACACACACACACACACACACACACACACAAAAGGTTAAAACTGAAGTCTTCGATTGTCATCAGAGTGACATTTCTTGGGAAAAAGATGTCAAAGTGGAACATTTTTCTTGCATATTAGACATGAAAGAAAAGAGAACAATTCGACTCTGGAGAAGTAGCAGTGTGTGTCTCATCTGTAAAGGTCTGAACTGGTGTAACTAAAGAACGGAACACATCTGAACATTTACCATGGAAATAGCGATTGAGTGTAGAGTTTTATGCTTTACCGAGACTCTTATACCGACATCTAATTTCTTTTATACGTCATCTCTTTTAAGGACCTGATATCTCCACAACTCAACAAATAAAAAAGAAAGGGTAAAAAGAAAAAGAAAAAAGGAAAATGAAGTAATTAACCGTAGGCGGGATCATTGAGTCAATTCTCTTCTTAGCGTTGCCAGGGCTACACAGCTCGAGCTTCGCCTTTATTATCAAGTGCTTAATACACATATCTAGTAATGGTCGTTAGCACACCAGCGGTAGATCTGGCAAAACGAAAGCCATATTGATTGTTAGAGAGTAGGTCTTGAGAGGTAAGATGCTTAACTACATCAGCATTGATTAAAGCCTCGAATACTTTGCCAAAGAGCGGTAGGAGATTAATAGGGCAACAATTAGAGGGAGCAGCAGGTTCAACAGAGTTCTTAAAAACAGCAACTACAGAGAAGAACTTCCAACAGGAAACAGAGAGGCAATATTTGTAGAGTTTAGAGAGAACTGGAGCCGGCTTGGAAGCACATTTCTTTAGGGCGACGGCTAGGATCTCGTCTCTTCCGCTTGCCTTATTCCTTATTGGAGTGTAATTTTGAAATAATATCTCAGACCTGTGACGGAGTTATGCACATATCACTCAGTAGAGCTTCTGTTCTAGGAGGGAAATCAGGTGTGGGTAATTCAGTTGAGTGTTGAGGTGGAAGAGAATTTACAAGCAAAACATTCAACCTTTTCTGCGGTATATGTCCGGACTTCGAATTGATTGAATAGAGGAAGGATAGAGGATTTGCTTTTGTTCATCACATTGCAGAGCAGCCAGTAATTTCTAGGATCGAAATTGCGAGACGCTGTAAGTTGTTTCATCTTATCAGCAAACAGTAACTTCGCTTCTTTGAGGACACGCTTGCATTCGTTATGGACAAAGATAAAGAGACGTCTGTTGCAATCCGACGTGCCTCTCTGGTACACCCAGACGAAGTGATTCCTGTGGGTTATACCGGTAGGTGAGAATCAAGTAGATGAATGCGATTTAACTTGGTATTCCCTTACTGGGATGAAAGCATTGATGCCGGCTTCCACCCAGAAGGACATCACAGAAGGATTCCCAATTCTCACGTTGATAACAGAAAGCTACTCTGTTGGTAGGAGGTAGGGGAAAGGAGAAATTTACAAGCGCTGCCGCATATCAGAGTTGTCAAGAGGACACAGCTGAAAAGCACGGCATGAATCCGGGATTGAGGTAAAAAAGAAAATCTAAAAGAGAAGCGTGATTATCAGTGTGACTGCGTGCCCGAGATACGAAAATGAAGCTTGTATGGCTATTTACTTATCTGGTTAATGTAGTATCGATTTTCCAAGCGTAGTTTAGATGGGGCACAAGGCCGAATGTATGGGGCACCCAGTGAGGATCGAACTCACTACTCAGTCGTAATTGTGCAAGCGAGACAAGCTTGCTAACCATTACACCGCCCCGGGGCGCCCAATCTAGTTAATGTAGTAACAGACGACAGAAAGTTCGGCACAGAAACTGGAGTAGTGAAAGATGCCTTTCAGACATTAAGCAAACTATTAAGGGATCGGCAAATTTCCTTAAAAACAAAGAAAAGATTGCTGAATTGTAATGTTAAATTTAATATGTAGAGCAGTGGATACAGGACAGTATATTAAGATGAGATTTGAAGCGGCAGCGATGTAGTTCTACGGATGAATGATAAGAATAGAATGGAAAGGACATGCAAGGAACGAGAGTTTTGAGGGAAATAAGAACTGCAAGAAACTGTTGCAAACAATCAGGAAGAGATAACAGAAAGTTTTAACATATGACGAGGAAAGAAGGTTTGGCGAATTTAACACCCGGATCAAATACTGATGCGGAAAAAAAAGCGAGTAAACTCTTTATAGTTCATTAAGTTTGTAGCCCTTTATTTTCTCTACTTTTTCTTGCTTTCACCCTGCACTGCGGGTTTTAAATTCCCCAAGCCCTATTTCCTCATTATGTGCCAGAGAAACTTCACATGTCTCCTTCTTGTTGTAAGTATAAGTTTCCTTGTTTATTTTTTCCATAATACTTCCTTATGGCTGATATGTTCAGTCCATGGTATTATTAGCATCCATCGGTAGGAACAGAATAAATTCACTTAATCTTTAAGAAGATCCTATAGCACCAACTACCAATGTGAGATTAGATATTACAAAGAATTCTTTTCTTTGTTTCGAAAGGCATTTTTCAATCTCTTAATTAATTTGCTTAATTTCTGAAAGTCATATTTCTCGTATTTCTGCGTCATTTTTTCCGTTGTCGACTCAAACCAATCCTTTCATTAAGGGTTTCATAAAAAAGTTGTAATCCTGCGGAACATTCACTGTTCACACTCATTCGCTCGGACATACCCATAACTCTATATGCTAGCTTCTGAAGATCCTTTCGTGAGTACAACTCAACTCTTGTAAAAGACATCCCACTGGCTTCCTGAAAATGGAGACTTTTTCGACATATACTAACAAGTCGACTCCACAATAAAATTTCCATCACACTGTTCGAAACCACTGTAAGTATACTGAAGGCAATTATATCCTTTTTGGCAGGAATAATGACTTATGTTCTAAGGGGCCTTTTGGTGTCACATGACTGTCCATTGGAGACGATTGTTGCCTAGCTTTCCAAAAAGCTGAACACGAAAATCGGATGCGTTCTAAAAACAGACCAAAAAGATACCTCATGGCTGTTCTGTGTTCCTCTTGGGGACAAGAAAAATCTTTTTTATCACTTTAAACGTTATTTTTAGTGGATACACATATTTGTTTATTTATTAAACAGTATTTATTTATTTTCGTCTATCGGCCTGAATAATCGAACCTGCGTCTGGGCAGTGGGAAACCATCGTTAGACTCGACGTGCCTTAACCGACTTAGCCACGATCTGCTTTTAATCCGTCCTCTTACCTCCTTATATGTGGTTCTGTCTGCTAGCCTACTTACATGTGCTTAAATTGAGCTGTGTTCATATTTAATATGACATATTTTGCATATAAAATCGCCTATGATTAACTCATTTTCGGAGTTAATTTTGTTTTCTAGTTCCAGTCCTTCTTCAGTTCTTGCTACAACCATTTTCTTCAATCAATAGCTAAAAATGAATCTAAAAGCGACAAACCTTCACCAGAGCCTATAGACTTGTGTTACAAAATCATCGTGATAACAAAAACCATGTCACCTTAAGAGTTCTAGCAGCAACAACAACAAAAGTGGGTATCACACGTAATTAGCAGAGAAAATAATGATATAATCAAGATATTATTGTTCCTCCCAAAGGGTTGGAACGACTTTCTTTAATTTTTTTTAATCAATTCACCTTAAGTAAGGCGATGAAACCACTAAGATGCAATAGGGTACTGGAAATGAAAAGACTTTAGCAGGAATCGGAAACCCAGTAATAATGTAAATTACAGAGTTTAGGCGGAGATGTTAGAAGTATAGAGTTGAAGTTGAATTTAGAAAGAACCGGAAACCCATTCCTAAACAGGAAACAAGGGATAAACCTCTACTTTTGTTCAAAAAATCAGGGTGTGTGTGAACCAGACGATAGGTGAAACTACATACTCTTATTGTTGAAAAAAAATAAAAAAAGAATTAGTAAAAATTTCAGGGTTTAGAAGGAGACGTTAGAAGTATAGAGTAGAATTTAAAAGGAACCGGGGACCCAATCCTGAACAAGAAGCATCTACTCCTGTTCTAAAGATTGGGGAGGAGTGTGAACCAGGCTATAGGCGAACTTATCGACTAGTATTAGGGAAAAATAAAATAAAATAAATTATAAAAATTTCAGAGTTAGAAATATCTATAGAGTTGTCAATAATATAAAGAGATATAATAGCAAACTTGAGAAAACTATTTTCCTGAAAAATTGATTAAAAAAACAAGAAGATTTTATAAACTTCAGTTGACAGTAATACTAATTGTTCAGTTAATAAACGCCAAATGCTTCCTGTATAGAAACGGAGAAATTTACCGTTGTCGTATCGGACTTTTAGCGGGTAGAGAGTATCATGGTATTTTCCTTTTTTTTTTTTACACCCATTACCAAAGACACCCGGAGGGTGTATGAGCTGATATCCGTGGTAACTTGGCAGATGTGCTTTCTGAGATGGAAAAAGGGAAAATGAATGAGAAATACTGTTTATGCTTGGAACAGGGATTTATTATTTGTTGGGTTGGAAAGAAGTTTTAGATTTCCGTTGACGTAATGTCGGTTTATTTGAGAATATAAAATTAAAGAAAAAAGAAATGCAAATAATTAAGTCATTTGTACAGACATGTCTGAAGCACAAAGAATTACTGGGCTGATTTTACTAAATAAGTCCGCCTTTCGCTCTCGAGTCACGGAAATTTCGTAGATAGTTAACACTGTAGCGAGTTCGATCCTCACAGGGTCCCGTACATGTGACCTTAAGTTTCGTAAATGAGTTCATGGGAGTTTTTTTGCTGGGTATCAATGAAGAAACTAGTTTCTTAGATCAGTACTCCTATTGCGAGTTCGATCCTCACCGGGTCTCCCATACATGTGGTGTTGAAGATCGAACGGAGCGTAAAATCAACCAAAAATCTCACGCTTTGTGTTTTATTGAGAATTAAAACAAAGGACGTAAATTATTCAACTAAATATTCACCTCTTTTTTTCGCAGTTCACCCAACAATATTATAAAATGTAATTCTAAATAGTACCAATTCATTTACGCTTGACTCACGATCCTTGTATTGTTAAAAAGTATCAACTATTTGTCATACGTAACAATCTAAATAAAGAACAGATGTTTAAAAAAATATTTTTTGTTAAAATTATGCAAGCATGATGCCAAAAAGACTGGGATAAATCTGGTGTAAATTATTTTCAGCGCTGCATAACGTTGATTGTTTTCACGTGACTGCTTCTTTTTATTACAATAAACTTCAGTTGGTTAACGCGGCTTTGGCGCATAGATTAGCGAGAAATTTAGAGCTTAGCCTTTCGCAAACGATTTTTAACACGCTTGATTATTCAAAGAAATTTTTCCATAGATTCAGGATTCTTATCTTGTTTAAGTAGCATTTAAAATAAAAATCATATACCGGAAATACTGTTTGTTTTATCCTGTCTTCAATGTTAAAATTAATAAGCTATAATCAGTTTTTAAACACTTAAAAATTCATGCTGATATGAAAGTTCCCAAAATTGAATGAATAGCGATCTTTTTTTAAAGAAGTTAGTTCCCACAAAATGCTCCTAACGACATCTAAAAGCAAACAAAATTATCTTTTTCGTTAATTATTGATTTTATGAAAATCGATACAAAAATGATACTTATTCTAATTTAATTTTTAAATTATTAGATATTATTAATATTTTATAGCTACAAATCATAAAGTGAGTAGTCGTCCAGTAGGAATTTTGGGGAGTTATCTTCATCCGATTTCAAAATAGCTCCCTTCTTGGACACATCTAGAAAGAAAAGAAATGTCATAGAATTTCTAATTCTTGAAGAATAAACTGCTGCAAACGGTAACTGAAGGTTAGGCTATGTTTATGGAAAGGCTTCATTTGATATAAGCATAAAAATATGACGATTCAGTAGAATTAAAGGCAATCCAAGTGCGAAAGGAAAAACTGACTTTAGCGACAGGTCACTGTGTAGCAGGTCAGCTGCTTTTGTGAATAAGGAAATGAGGCGCTTATTATATATGACAGTTGGATAAATGTCAACAATTTATGAAAAGCCTTCGGGCGAGTTATAAGCTTCAGCTTAATTCAATTTCTTAGCTACTCAAAGATCTGTACAAAGTTGAGTCACAGAATGCTGACAGAATCTACGAAATTTGAAGAAAATACAAATTTTCTGGGGCTTCCCAAGACAGATAGAATATTTCCAAACGGGATACCTTGATTCAGCAGAAATTCAGTATACGAGATAAGGGGATGGAACATAGAATGAGCTACGCTAGGGGTATTTATTGTCAAACAACTTAAGTTGCTGCAAAATGAAAACATAACGCCAGAAATCAATTTATGTCCTTAAATAGCCTCATCAGATTAAGACTTTCATATGGATGCCATGCATGGCAACAAACTTGTTCAGAAATAAGTAAACTGTCAGCTGTAAATAACTGGTTTCTCAAATCAATGATTATAAATGATTTCCAACGATTGAAATATGAAAGAGCACCATTCTATTTTGAATCTCGAGAACTGGTGCCACATGATCACAAACAAAGAACTGTACCAAATAACAGATATCACTTCCGGACCCACAACAGCAGCAACAACTAAAATGGATAGCAAATGTAACTCGAAGGCAAAATAATGGCATAAACAAGATGTCTACTTCTACACTACACCAAACAAAAGGTTAGGAAGGAAACTCCCATCAGTACTGAAAAGAGCGATAACAACTACTGGACTTGAGAAATCTATTTTCCTGAAAATTTTTTTTTAAGAAAACCATTTTGTAAATTTCAACCGAAAACAGTACTGCCTGCTGGGTCAATGAATGCCAAATATTTTCACATCAAGAAACCTTTACCAATAGGAAATAAATATCATTGGTGTCACCTAAATCCACCCAGAATGAAGCTTGGGATATATGGTACCGTACGAAAAGAGATGATAAATGAGTCTTGTTACGAGAATGGAATTATACTGTTAGAGTTTATACCCAATGCCAAAACTATCAATTTCTTCTGTCAGTTATGTGCCATGCGTGATACATGACTTACGAAGCAGATTTTTCCCGAAGTAGGTTGTCATTTCTTTCTGCAATAGACCAATTGCCATCTAAGGCTATAGAAACCGGTCTGGCCTGCTGTTTACCCATAGCTGGCGGGGGAAGAAGAGGATTCATACCTTTCCCATGGGTATTAGAACGTAAGTGAATGTAATGGATTCGACTGGAATTCGAACCCGGCTCTCCGATTCCTCAATCCAAGCCATTATCCATTATTCCAACATGTCTGATTCTTATTGACAAACTCGGAGAAATATTCATTTAAGTTCGGCCACATTGAATGATGAGTGATGTGTTTCTCCAGTAATGCATCAGTTTAGAAACGCAATCAAAGCGTATGGCTGGAGAGTCATACCTCATCCATCCAACAGTCTTGACCTGGTATCCTTTGATTTTCATCAGTTAAAGCCTATGGAGAAGGCACTTTCTCCATTGACCATAAACTGAAAGAGACAAATCACACATTTGTTTGAAAACAGTCAGGAAGTTCCCATGACGTGAATGTATATATCCTTATTCACGGGTAAAATTATGATTATCCTTAAAACTAAGATAAATTGTTAGTTTTTAGATAACTTATTTTAAACCAGTCAAGGGTAAACTGCAGACTTTTTGACCGACGCTCATATTTTGTCCATAGATTTTAAGCGAAGGGTATCAAATGGTCTCTGAAAAGGAGGACTTTATAGGACAGATTTCAAATAAATGGTATGGTTTCTAGGCTGGAGAGGAGGACTTATAAAATGCTGAGGTTAATTGTTGGAGGCACGTGACTGAAAATCGCTCTTAAACGCTTTGTTAAGTGTAACGATTGTTTTAAAATTTAGACATATTGAGAAGTCATATAGAGGATGTTTGGTTTTTCTTTAAATATGTTATTACTATACCTGTTGAGTTAGTAAGGGCTACGGCGCTGGAGATCTGAGTTCGAGCTTAGATAAATCATTGGATTGTAAATATTTTAAGATAAAGAACACTTAGGCTACATACTAAACGAACATAGTATTAGCGCTGTGCCAAAATAAGTCAAGCTTACTAAATCTATCTATCTATCTATCTATCTATCTATCTACGGTAGATAGATTTGGACAGAATGACATAGAGAACGTGATATATATATATATATATATATATATATATATATATATATATATATATATATATATATATATATATATATATATATAGATAGATACATAGATAGATAGATTTAAACTGACTGCTATAGAAAGGTTTGAATAGAATGAGAGAGTTTTGAACAGATCTATCTATCTAGCTAGCTATCTAGCTAGCTATCTATCTTCAATAAATAGATTTGAACATTAACAGATAGAGAACGTGATAGATAGATGGATAGATAGATAGATAGATCTATCTGTTCAAATCTATCGCTTTCTCTCATTCTGTTCTCATCTATCTACAGCAGTCAGTTTAAGTGTATCTATCTATCTATCTATGACAATATATATATATCTATAGAAAAAAAAACAGAAAATACTTTTTCAAAAGATGACCGTTGGTAAATGCCCGTTGCTGATAATATGCAAATGTCTGAAGCAAAGTCCAACTTTATTTAAATATGAAATCGATCGTTGCTGTCCTAGTGCAATGGATCCTTTGCTAAACTAAGTTTACTTGAGCAAATATCTGTATAATAATTCTGTGCAAGCTGGATACTTATAAAATCAATGAAAATATAAAACGTATGAAGACATGACACAAGACATATTTCGGAGCTGCATTGACTGTATCAAAAATAAATAAATAAATATCATCTATCTTCCATCTCAACGAAACCATATTGTCAAATCACGCATGCGTGAAAAGCAACTGTCGGAAAACCTATCAGAAAAAAATCTGTTTAAAACACGGTAAGAATATAAAACAGAGACGAGTGAATTCGACCGTAAATGAATGTGTAGCCCACTTTTGTTGTCTCTTGTTACAAAAGAATTCTGTCTTTGGATGGGTTGAAAATATTCTCGCAGTTTGCAGTCGTGCGTAGCGCTCCGTAAAAAGTAAAGAAAGAACTTGGAGCTTTTTTGAAGTGTTAACGCCATTATCATTGGCATCACATTTGGAGAAAAGAAGGGAGACTGCAAATCCATATATATATATATATATATATATATATATATATATATATATATATATATATGTATGTATGTATGTATATATAATTGCTACGCTGTTAAGCACGTGGCTCAAAAGCATAACAAAGGAATATATATATATATATATGTGTGTGTGTGTGTGTGTTAAAAAGACTTATATAGCTGTTCTTCACCAATAAGTCCTACTTAAATTTTCATGCAGAAGCCAATCATCAGGGATAAAGTTTATGACCGATAATTGCTATATGCAGGAAACTTTAAGTAGCATCGAACAGTTATATAATTCATTTTTATATAAGTTTTTAGCTGTTCGATTACTACCAGCACTCGTTGTGTGCTATTTTATATTTATAATTATATCGGGAAAGGTATTAGTCCTCTTCTCCCTCTAGCTATGGGTAAAAAGCAGGACAGACAAGATTCTGTAACCTTGTCTAGGAAAAGGACAACGCTGAATTCAAAACCTACGGAAGGTCGTTTGTGGCACGTAGTGTACCAGATCTCTGTTTTAGGCCCTTCAAAAAGTGTGGTTCGTTCTGCACAAAGCCTTCACCACTATAATCAAATCTCATGTGCTGGTGTCTGGCTGTCGGTTCCTAGGAACTGAGCTGTTTGACCCCCATACGTCGAATACGACAGGATAATCCACCATATATCTATCTATCTATCTATCTATCTATCTATATATATATATATATATATATATATATATATATATATATATCAATGATTGCTACGCTGTTAAGCATGTCGCTCAACGTCAAAACAAAGGAATATCCTTCGAGAAGTATGCGATTCCAACCATATCTCCCCGCCCCATCATTTCATTTCAAATTAGGATCGAAAATCATTCCTTCCTTACATAAATTCTATTAACAAAAATATTAGCGATTTCCATAAGTAATACCAACTATCAGCAAATATTTTTCTAGATTTTTTGAGAATTTGAAACGCTACGTAAAATTATGATTATCCATAAAACTATAAATTGATAGTTTTTAGATAATTTAATTTAAACCAGTCAAGGCTAAACTCCAGCCCTCGCCCTCGTAACCCGCCTCCGCCCCCGTCCCCGCCCAGGGACACTTGCAACTCGTTTAGTCGTTTCGTCTTTCTGGATGGTACGTTTAATTTCATAAGCAAAATAACGTTCTTTAAAAAATTTCCTTTCATTGTTCACTCTGAAACTCTTTCATATGATGTTTTCATATGATTATGAAATAGACAAAGTCCGACAATTATTTTTTAAGACATTTTTTACGTTTATACGTTCTTTTTATAGATACAAATATTTATGTAAATGCTCTGTTTATAATTGCAGATTGACCACAGATTCTGGATTGGATTTAAATCAAGAAAGTTTCCGAGCCAATCTATAGTACTTTGATTTGCTCACTGTTAAGGCTTGCCAGTGTGTTCGTGCAGCATTACAATTTTGTTCCTTGGAGTTCCTTGGGTAACATCCATTACAGATAATGGCCGTTGGACAACTAATCAACAGACGATACAATAGTGTCTGGGTGTGATAAAATTTGATGCAATCACGGATGCCGCAATATTTTTCAAGGCAAAACAAATTTTATCGTACACCCCTGAATATCGATTCATATTACTGCATACCACTGCAAATGACCTAATCTGAGGAAAAAATAGAAATCGATTACACCCTCTCACACCAGTGGGTCTAAAATTGACCGTATGGTGAAAGAAAGGAAAATAAAGTGGTTGATTCAATTAATTTTCAGAAGGGCGTATCTTTCTACAATTAATGTATAGTAATTAGTTTTAATTCATAACTAATTATTAGGTAAACAAACTGAAACCTACTTCAATAAACAAAAACTCCAACAGAATGTCAGTAAAGCAATAAACAAAATTCTATAAAAATAAACAAGAAAAAGTAAAAAAAATCCCTTCCCCTGGTTGGGAAACGCCCTGCTCTAAGTAAATTTTACCCTTTCCCATCCTACCTTGCCCCTGTTCTGCCATCCTTCTCACTCGATACGTAGGTGACTTCATTATGTGTTCCAGAAACTCTCTTTCCGATTGTAAGTATACATTTCCTTGCGGTTACTGTGTTCCTTAGAAATGTTCTGCCTATGATATCTTCTGCATTTGTCAATAGAAACTCATCCCTGGCGCCTCCTGTCTTCTTTTCACTTGTGAAGAAATCGACTGGCATTCACTGACACATAGGAGAGCACCTATCTGCCCGGTGCTGTTTTCTTTGTTTCCTACAAGATTTTCCGACACTTTTTATACTTACCATTTAACGCAATACTGAATTCTCTCTATAGACATATTTCCAGAGATTTCAGCTGTCGTTTTCTGATAGAAGGTGTCGGTTGTAGTTCGTATTTTCCTCAAAGCTTCCTCGTTTCTCACATGTTGATTTCATGGTATTCTAAAACACTAGGAAGGAAACCCCCATAAATAATGGAAAGGCCATTGACAATGAACTCGAGAAACCTACTTGTCTTAATCATTTCAATCTGAGCAAGTCAATAAAGTCACCAAGACACAGATATATATATATATATATATATATATATATATATATATAGAGAGAGAGAGAGAGAGAAAGGGGGGAAGAGAGAAAGATATATATATATATATATTAGACATTTTTGTGTTTATACGTTCTCTTTATAGATGCAGATATGTAAGTAAATGTTCTGTTTATAATAAACAGCATTAACAACGAGAAATTTTCATAGAAACTATGCGTCCTCCGACAGGAATCGAACCTGTATCCTATACGGAACCGTCATATAACCTGACGTGCCTTAACCGATTGGGCCACAGAGGAGCGTTCGGTTAGCAAGGTCGATTTTACTGTTTTTTTAAACACAATTCTCTATGATTTTCTCATTCATGTATATTTGCTCAATGCGTATCCAAATGTAAACAAATGACGTCATACATTACGACCTGGACAAAGTCCGACAATTATTTAAGACATTTTTTATGTTTATACGTTCTTTTTATAGATACAAATATTTAAGTAAATGAGCAAGGATTAGGGTTACTGATTGTGAAATATTATAAGGAAAAAAAAAAACATTATTACGGAGCGAGAACAATAAAAGAACAGGAATTAAGAAAACAAAAGATAACGATTTTTATTTTACTTAAACTTTTGAAGATCGAACTTGACTGGAAAGCAAGAAGCCGGAAGAGATTTGCACAGTGAAAAAATTGTTGTAAGGGGAAAGATTTTATAAATTTCAATTGGCGTCAATGAAGGGAAAATGTTTCCTTATAAGGAAACGGCTGATGTTACACGATAACCATAGCGAAGATTAGATTTTACGTTGAGATGCTGATATGAATAATTTGTGAGTGGCGGATAATGTTAAAAACATTCATTGAATTGTAATGTATGAACTTTGAAATTAAACTTGTCATCTATATTTACTTCCAGTATGTGAACAATATTTCCAATTTCTACCCCGGCCCCCGAAAAAAAAAAAAGGATTTTCATTGTATGTCACAAAACATTGTTACATTACAATCAAGACTTAGTGCATAGCTATTAGCTGAGTTAATGAGGCAAAGACTATCGCCGCTGAAACAAACGGCTTAAGTATCGCGTGGATACGAATAGAAAATCAGTAGTTGGCAGATGATGCAGAAGCTATTTCCAGTTAAAATGGCTGCTCTTTGCCGCTTGCTTCAGTTTGCATGGGCGCAGCTCAGCTGGAAATAACACGGTTAAATATCACCAAAAGAGTAGATGCCAAATATAGCGTCAGGGTGTAAAATCTCCTTGAGCATCTCTGGTGAAATTGCCATGTTGATTTTTCAGTTCTTGTTGCCAAAAAATTGTTATATCACAGGTTGTTGGGATAAGCCAAAAATAAATGAAAATAAAAGACAAGTGTATTTTAACACATAACAAAACAACTTATACTCATTTTTGATACTATTTGTCATTGCCGCGGTAAAACGGAAGGAAGT